CACACACACACACACACACACAACAAGAAAAAAAGGCATACGAGGCACAAACATACTCAACTCCCAGTCACTGCAAGAAAGAAAGACGGAAAAAAATAATAATAAGTAAGCAATGAAAATGAACTGAATAAATGAAGGGAACACAAACAAAAAAAAACGGTGGGAAATTGAGGACTGAAAAAGCAAAAGAACAACGGTTTCGGAAGAACAGAATGAATGGAGTTTGCTTTATTGTTGCTTGTGTGTGTGTGTGTGTGTGCCACATGGTGGTTACGCTTGGTTTGTTGGGAGCCTCCTGCTCAGTTGTGAGTCCCGGGTCAGGAGTTTGTTTCCTTCGTGGTGCAAAAACAAACGTGTATACCCTCGTTCTCAACGTGTTTCTTCATGGTTGCCTGCCGTATTTGCAACCGTGGCACCCCTCTGTCTCTCTTACATTCTCATCTTGCTATGTATGTATTTGTCTCTCTGTGTGTTGGTGTGAATGGGAGTGCGACTCGAGCGGCCACAAACTGTATCCGTCTCTCGCGCTGCTTTCTTCTCTCTTTGAATGAAAAAAGGAGTTGGGAGGTGAGTCGGTGAGTAAAGAATACACTATTGCAACCTGGGCTGTATATTGTGCTATGCGAACTGTGGTGGTTCTCTCTTGTTCCCTCCTTGTCTTTTATTTTTGTTTTTATTTTTTGCCTTCATTTGCTCGTGTGCAGCGGAGAGGATGAGCGGTCCATTAGTGGGGGTGGCCATTAACGACAAGTCTGCCAGGTTGGCGCGGCGTTACGCCCTTGAGTCCAACTATGACGTTGCGGTGGCCTTCTACACGGGGCTCGACAAGGATTTTGAGGTGTACATGGAGTGCTGCGAAGACGCTTCTGAGCGGGCCCGCTGGGCTCTCCTGCGTGAGAAGATCGCCGAGGAGTGCTCTCTCGTACGCTCCATCCAGGAGGAGCTCAAGGCGCTAGTGAACCCGGTGGAGGCGGCGCGGCTGGAACGTGCGCAGCAGGGTGACAGCGGCGTGGCGCAAGTGTCGCCGCCCAGGCCTCGCGTGGCACGTGACTCGTATCCAGGACGTGCAGCAACGACACGGCCCGCGCGCCCCACCGGTTTCCGAGCAACCAACACGGCTACCTCGGCCTCGCCCCCGCCGGCCCTTCACCGCGCCGCAGAGAGTGCCGGGGCGCTCAACCAGGTGCTATATGGAGATAAAGATCGATTTGGCCCTCCAGAGGGGCCAGCTATCAAGCCGCAGCCGCGGCCAGGTGGAGTGTCCAAGCCATCACAACGCCACAGCTCCCCTGCTTTTCGCAGGGGTGCACCTGCAGGGGGTGCATTGACAAAGCCGTCCTCTCCTCTTAGTAACGCCAAGGCTAAGGTGGTCACGCGGCGTGCAGAGAAACCCGCGGACGGTGGCGGACGTCGTCAGGGAACGCGGACCACTGTCCCGCGTTTTGCTCCACGCAGTGGAGAAGAAGAGTTAGTCTCACTCATCGAGGCGGACATGCACGTTGGCCCAACGTCCTTGTCGTGGGCTGATATTGCTGGGCTAGAAGAGGCCAAAGGGCTACTTGAGGAGGCTGTTGTCTACCCGGTGCTGATGCCGGATTACTATCAGGGAATCCGGCGACCATGGAAGGGGGTTCTCCTGTACGGGCCACCTGGGACGGGAAAAACAATGCTCGCTAAGGCGGTCGCGTCGGAGTGCAACACAACTTTCTTCAATATCTCACCCGCTACCTTAACCAGTAAGTGGCGCGGTGATAGCGAGAAACTTATCCGGATTCTTTTTGAGATGGCACGACATTACGCACCGAGTACCATATTTATTGACGAAATTGATTCCCTGTGTGGGCAGCGGGGAGATGGGGGCGAGCATGAGGCCTCGCGCCGTGCGAAAGGGACGTTACTAGCCCAGATGGATGGTGTTGGTGTTGATCCTGGAAAGATAGTCATGGTTTTGGGCGCCACAAATCATCCGTGGTCTATCGACGAGGCGATGCGTCGCCGATTGGAGAAACGTATATACATTCCTCTTCCAGATTTCAACGATCGTGTGGAGCTCTTCCGCATCAACACCCAATCGCTGAAGTTGTCTTCCGACGTGGACTTTAAACGCCTGTCGACGATGCTGGAGGGTAGACACTACAGTTGTGCCGACATTACAAATCTAGTGCGTGACGCGGCGATGATGACGATGCGGCGCTTCAGGGAGGAAATGGACAAGTCAGAGCTCAAACGACGCGCGGCAGAAATTGGCAAGCTGGTGGCAGACCAGCCAACGACTATGAATGACTTCCTGAGTGCTGTGAAGAATGTGCCGAGCAGCGTCAACGTGGAGCAGATCGTGAAGTTCGAGAAGTGGAAGAAAGAGTTCGAGACAAACGTGTAGAAATGCTCATTAGAGGTAAATGGTTCGTCGGGGTCGCGAACGAGTACAAGAGAGGAGAGAGAGAGAACAAGGAGAAAAGACCAAGTTTTGGGCTGCTCTTTGTGCTGTCAGGTACTCGTAATGGCTTTTATGTTGTTGTAGTTGCTGTTGCTTTTAAAAGGGGATTGTCTCTCTTTAACTCAATCTCTCGTCGGTGTCGTCCTAGACTAGAACAGCGGATTGTAGGGGCGGCGCGCGGACGTTGGTCTGATTTGTCTCATTCGGCGCGGCCGACAAGCGAAAACTCCTGCACGCGTACCAATAACACACAGAAGAAACCAAGGAGAAGGAAACAAAGATTTTTGTTTAAAAAAGAAGGGGTGAAGCCAAAAGGAAAAAAACAAAAAATGTCCGACCACCGTGGCGCAGGGCGCACGGAGCATGATGGGAAGGAGAACCGAAGGCGGCGTCAGAGGAGCGAACCAACGTGCACAAGTTCGGGCGGCTGGCAGATCGCGTCGAACAGTCGCTGCCTTGCTTGTGGGCGACTCGCGGCCATGTGCGACTGCCGCACAACTAGAATGGACCCACAGCTCAAGCGACAGAAGCTTGACAGCTTCCTCCTCAACACACCGTACGTGCGGTGCAAGCAGCTCAAGGCACTTGACGACGCAGGTCGGGAAGAGTCGCGACACCGCCGTCGGCTGGTGGAGCAGTGGGGCGATGAGCTCGAGGCGATGGCGTACGCGGCCCTCACACAGCAGCGTCTCCTCTGCCTGGCTCTCGAGGAAACAGCAGAGCGAGAGGCTCTGACAGCTGTGGAGCGGAAGGGGAGGGCTGAGATGATGGTTTTCTTGGACCGCTACGTTGTTCTGTTTGCCGTGGTTAGGCACGAGCGGGAAGAGCGATTACGGTTGTGCGCATCAGCGCAGCGAGAAGCAAAGATGCTTCTAGCTTGGCACACCGCGGTATTCGAGCTGATCAGCCTTCACAGCCGCGAGTGTGCCTTTCGTGACGCGCTTGTCAATCACGAGGCAGCGGCAAGATCAGCGCTGACAAGCCTTAATGTGGAACTCCTCAATGTGATAGACAGCAACGAACGGGAGCGTCGCGCTGTCTACGGGGAGTATTGGGGGCAACGGGAGCAGCTTGTGGCGAAATGGATTGGTGGAGTTGAAGCCATTCAGAGTGACATTTCAATGAGCGTGAGTCGGATTGGGCGGATGATGCAGGAGAGGCTCCGGCTGTTCGAGTTGTGCGAGGGGCACGCGTCCAATATCGATGAGGAGGAGAAGACGACCAGGCAGCATCTGTATGGCATCGCGGTCGAGGAGGGCTGCCTTGTGATGGAGAGGCTCCGGTTGTGTGAGCAACAGTTGGAGGCCGTGGCGCAACAAGAGGCTGCAGCACGTGCTGCCATTCTGCAGGACACCGCCGACGCCTACAACACATTGTTCCTGGACTTCAGGCGCGAAGGGGAAAAGGCTCTGGAGGTGGAAGAGATCAAATGCCAAGAGAGGGAGATGGAGCTTCTCGAGGCCATACGCCACCTGCAAAGTATTACAATGGAAGAGGCGGCCGCCTTTGCATCACTAAAGGCTCAGGAGCACCGCGAAAAGGACCTACGATACCAGTGGATGCTGCAGAAGGAAGGGCAGTGCTGTGAACTTGAGCAGGCTTCGCTCCACCAAGCGCAGCTGTTGTTTGATGAAGAGGCCGCATCTCGCCACGCACTGTTGAGTGCGATGCAAGATGAAGAAGTCGGGATTGCTGCGTGGCTGCAGCATAAGGCACGAAAACTACGGGAACTCGTGGAAACCGCTGTAGGTCAGAAGGGCGACATACGCCTGCAGGAGCACGAGGAGCGCTTTGCATTGGTATCGCACAAAGCAGAGGACGAGGATGCCGTGCGGCGCTGGATCGAGCAAAAAGAAATCGTACGGCAATCTGTTATAGCAGAAGAAGCTGAGCACCGTCTCAATGGACTGGAGATGGAGCGCGCCGCACGAGGAGAAATCGCATGGCACTTTGATGCACGACTGGAAGGCTGTCGCTCTCTGGTTCAGGAACGGATTGCAGCACAGGCAACGTTCCAGCTCAAGGCCCTAGCCTTCCTCGAGGGAATCACGGTGCAGGAGACAACAGCAAGGCTCCTGCTACAACGTGCAGCCCACGATGACGAGGAGCGAGCCCTGCAGGAGGAAGCCCACCGCCAAGTGCTCGACGTGCTCAATGCAGAGACGGAACACCGAAGCCACATGGTGCAGCAAGAAGTGCGCCACCGCGAGAGCATTGTCACACAGATGCTCCTGCAAAAGAGTTTCTTCGCAAAGGAGGCACAAGAGCTTCTCAATGCACGGCTTTGTGAGGTCGTTGCGGCAGAAGAAGGCCAGCGCCACCTCCTCCTGCATCTTATAGGGGGGGAAGCAGAGCGCCTTTGTCTTGATGGAAGGCGTTCCTTTGAAGAGGCCCAGCAACGAGAGCGAGGACGTGTGCGCGAGGAGTTGAACCGGCGTAAAGTTGCACTAGCAGAGGACGCGCGCCTGTACTGCGAAGACGAAGAGCTCACGTTCAGTCACAGTGATGCGGCTCACCACCAGCACCAGAAATGCACCGCGGCACAGGATCCTTTGTTTGATGAGTCGTGCCGCTTGCAGCGCCAACTCATCGCTGCTGAGCTGGGCGTGGACGAGAAGGACGTCGCGGTGCTCACTCCTACAGCCGTGGCGTTTCTCGTCAATATTGTCGACCTCATCACTCGGAAGGATTCGCACACCGCTGCGGAGCTGCGACGAGCGGAGGCGGCAGAAAAGGAGGTAGAACGAAAGGTAGAGCTGCAGCGGCGGCAGCTGTCGAGCGCGAAGGAGCGGTTGGAAGAGTTAAAAGGGAAACTACAACGTGACGCCGCTGAGCACGAGAGGCACGTGGCGATGCACCGTGACACGCGGCAGAAGGATGAGGCGCAGCTGGAGCGTGAGCGAGCGCGTCTCCAGGCAAAGGTGGAAGAGCTGCGCAAGATGCACAGCAGCGTCTCTGGTATGCGGGAGGCGATTCACAACCAGTACCAAAAACGGTGAGGAATTTGAGGGGAGGGTGGGGGCGATTCTTTCAAATGAGTGTGCATACAGAGAGAAGCCGCTTGACATGGGTCCTCCTCATCTATTCATCCTTCACTACAGAGTGGGTTTTTCGAGTTTTGTCGATTTGTGTGTGTGTGTGTGTGTGTGTGTGTATTCGTTGGATTCCAAATAGATTTCTAGATGCTCTTCAGTTATAGGGAGCGAGATAACTCTCCCTGGTGTCCATCGCGGGTCTTTCGCTACACCGTGCAGGATGCAACAACTGATATATCAGTTTGTTTTTCGATATTGTACCCTCTCCATCATATGTCTTGGTCCCGCCCTGACGAGCGGCAGGCGACTCTGCTATCTGTCAGCCCACGCACCGACATTAATCGGTTCTTGTTTTTTATTTGTTTTCATCCCGTTGTTTCTACGTGGGGCAAAAAAAAGGCGGCGATGCACATGGAAAAGGAAATCACAGTGGCGCAGCTGCGCCAGTGCAGTCTGGCGGTCACACTACCAGCGAATCTCAGTGCTTTTACCGTGGAGATACTGTATGAGCTGCTGGTGGCGGGACTGGTGCGCCTCGCAAAGACTGGCAATGAGGGTTTTGAACAGCAGCTGCCGGCACATCTGACAGTGAGCGACACCGTCACACGCCTCCGCCTCTTGAGTGCGTTGACGGTGCAACTACAGGCTTCGGGCTGTGACTTCATCCGGCACGAACACTTGATGTACCCGTCGGAGCGCAGTACCAAAATGGTTCTCAGATGGCTCGTGACGCAGTTGCACCGCACCGCCATAACCGAGAGCGCTGATGGTAAGGAATGGCTTAAGTTGTCGCCTGTGAGGCAGGTGCTTGGCTCATTTCAGTCTTTTCTGCATCGTTGCACTCAGAATAGTGATTACAGCGATCATGATGCGTGGCCACGTGGCAGCGCTCCCATAGCGACGGTGTGGCTCCCGTTCTGCACCGTAAGTGTTGTAGGACGGCGCGCCGACAGAATTCATGCCTCGTGCTGGTGGCAAATCCGCTGCGGCTATAAGACCATGCAGGACTTCCCCTGTGCGCCCTCCGAGACGGCAGGGCAGCCGCGCTGGGGAGAAGTTCTTCTTAATTCCTTTCAGGAGGCCAACGCTATTGAGCGCACGCGCGAGAAGGACTTCGCTCACCGCTGCCTGACGGAGGCACTCATGTCGAGGGGTCATATGAGCGCCGGCGGCAACGTCCGGCGTAGACCGTTACGGCGTCCAAACAGGGTTTTGGCTGCGCCGGCACCGCAGCGGAAATTAAAGGTCTCCTCCCTCGCAGTTGATTCCTTCTTCTACAACCCGTCGGAGGAAGGTGGGATGCAGCAGAGCATTCTGGAGACCCTGGTGAATTCAGAGGCCACGGCGGCAATAGAAGATACGGCCACTCTCCAGAAGGCAATCGTGGAGACTGAAGAAGGCATTGGCAGCACAGAGGCTCTGGCTGCGCATGATGAGGATGCCATTCTTCAGGACTACTCCGAGGCCAAGGAAGGGCTGCGGCAGTGCAAGAGTAGGCTTGCTGACCTTGCTGCTCAGAAAACGCAGTGCGACATGGACTTGGCGACGCTCATGGCCACTTACGAGCGACAGCAAGCCGAGCGAAGGCGCCAAAAAGAGGACGCCCAGCGGCTTGAGGAAGTTCTGGCGCTGATGGACACCCAAGAGGAGAGCGAAGCACAGATACGCCGTGAAATTGCAGAGTTGGGGACAGAACGCGAGCGTCACAGAGACAAGGTGCAAGCAAAGTTGCAAAAGGTGGAGAAGAAACGTGAGGAGTTGGTGGAGGAGCTCCGCCTGGTGGGGGGTGATCGCGAGGAACAGCTGGCCCAGATGCGCCGCGCTGTAAAGCGGCTCAAAAGGCAAATAGACGAAAAACAACGTGATGTGCAGGAATGGAAGGCTGCCGCCTCGTTGCGTACAGAGTGTATCGATAGGTCGCACTTTCTTCGCTATATATATGATATGACATCAAACCTGTGCAAGCAGCAGACGCAGGTTGCCGCAGTTACACGCGACACAGCCGATTGCAACGATTGTATTGAAGAACTGGAAAGACGCCTTAAGTCATCTTTCGCCAGGCGCGAACATGACGTGTACAGAAAGGCAGCCTCTTCCCAGGGTGACAGTGTGTTTCACCAGTTTCACAAGAGCCTTCTCGATATGCGTGATGGCTACCGGGGACTTATTCGTGCAATAGCGGAACGCGGGGAGCTGCAGTTGGAACTTAACCGCTTGGAGGAACGCTTGGCGAATCTCAAAGCCGAGGTCGAAGCCTGTGACACAACAAAGTTGGAAGCCGACTTGGCGGAGTTGACTTAAAATATATTTTGCTTTAGTATTCTTAACCGCCCGTGCGGCGGCGACGTGTGTTTTTCTTGTGCCAACTCATTGTAGCGGACTTGAGAGACGCAAGAATAGAAAGACCAAGGCGTTCTGATCTTTGCCATGAGTAATGCTGCACTCATCCAACACATGTATACAACTGTTTTTCTCCACCTTTCACATATTGTGGGGTGCAGGTTCCATTTTTTTTTTTTGTATTGCTTTACCGAAGAAGCCAATGTCAAGGGAACTAGCTGTGGTTGTGCTTGGGGCCACCGGCTACACGGGCCAGCTGGTCTGCGAGTATCTCGCGGGTCTGGGTCGCAGTGTCGTCGGTCCTTGGGCGATTGCAGGCCGCAGCGAAGCGAAACTCAACAAGCTGAGGAGCGAACTGGGTGGGAACGTCTCCGTTCTCGCCGCAGACTTCAGCGACGCCAGCTCTCTGGACAATGTCTGCTCCCGCACCAGCGTGCTCATTTCTTGTGCCGGCCCCTTTACGCAGGTGGGGATGCCTGTTGTGGAG